CATATCAATAAAATGAAAATGTATATAAGTGATTAAGTAATTCTTCGTATTTTTTTATTTAATGATAAATTATAACATTGATTATCGATATTTTCCCCCTAATTGACTTAAGTGAATGATAAATGAAGGCAAAAAGAGAATTTCATAACAAACAAACGTGCAAATAAGCATGAGATTATTGCTATAGTTACAAATATGGCAATATGAATCACCACCCCTTGTTAAAATATCTTTTAATAATTTATTAACACACATGAAAAAGTTTGGTACGGAATTTGAACATATTAAAGTTGAAAACGACAATGAAGAAGAAAAGGAATTATTTGTAAAATTGAAGCAAATATTAAATATGGGTGAAAAATGGAAAGCAGAAGGATAAAAGGCGAGGATGAAAAGTTAGGTAAAAAACAGAGAGAGTGTGGTGTGTAGATGCCCTGGGCTGACACGTCTGCAATTTGCATTGGCATTGGGCATTGGGCATTGTGCAGTGGGTGCGGGTGGCCCAATTCAATTTGGGATCACTCATCACATCACAACAACCACAAACACAAGAGTACTAGGAATGGTAAAAAACGGGTGCATTTATGAGATGAACCTTCCACCCGAACCAATTCATTTCCATATATACCCACCAATCTCGATCTTGATTCGGGTGTGTTGAGTTTGTAAGGTAATCGTATGATTAGAGAAGAGAATAATCATGAGTATATAAAAGAGGATAATTATCTCCATTAATACAATGTTTTTTGGATGGAATCAAAAACAAAATCGTGAGGACTATGTCCAAAACGGATGATACCGTTGTTCTTAACAGGGACTATTGTCGAAGGTAGAAGTAAGGACAAAAGCGATATTCCATTGGAGAAAAAAGTTTTAATTTGATGAGTAGTACAACGGATGAGAATGATTAATGTTTGCCTTTAAGTCCTATAACCACTTTTTAAACACCTCTATATAGTTTTATTATTATTATTATTATTATTATTATACTCTGCTCTCTTTCTTTTATGATCTTCTTCTCAGACATCCCCAAAAAGGTTCACTCTTTATATTATCATTCCACCTACCTTTCCCTTTTTTTCTTCTCACTTTTTAACTCTCTATTGTCTTTTCATTCATTCATTTTTCCTCATAAATTCCAACTTTTTTTACTTTCTTTTCCATTTTCACCCTCCGACTTTTCCTTTTTACTCCCTAACCTTCAAAATCCAGATTTTACCAAATAGTATGAAAATATTTTTAAAACGTAATAACAAAGATTTATAAACATAATTCAAAGTACATCCTAAGTTGTTGGTGCAGTGACAACTAAGATAAAAATATATTGAAGCATTGACATGGACATGTATAGAAAGTACGTATGTCAACTAAGATGAGTACTCGACATGAAAATAATAAGTGAAGTACAACATGTGGGGTAGGGGTTTGAATTCCTAATCTTTTTATCAGAGAAATGTGCCTTAACCAGCTATACTTAGCTCGATTCGGTGTGAGTGCATTTTTTTTAAAAGTTCTTGAACCAGAAAGAAACCTTTTTTAAAATTCACAAATAAGTGAAAAAAATCAAAATTTCGAATGCAAAACCTAAATATTTAGAGAGAGAGTTAAATTTTTTTTCTATTATTATTACATTATCATTCAAATTGAAGTTGCGCGAACGGTACCTCACTTTGTCGCGTTTGGATATTGGGCCTCACTCTCGGCCCAATGACCGTGGTTCAGGGTGCACACGGGGCCCATGATTCGAGCACTTAGGATAGGTAGCGCATTGAGACGGTAGCGTTTTGCCACCTTTTTTTTTTTTTCCTTGGCGAATATTAAAGGGCTTGGAAAACGGTGATACGGCACGCACCATGCAACTCGGGAATTTTTATATCTTAAAATAAAGTAAATAATTAAAGCGTTCAATTGCGTAATTATTACTGTCCCTACTATTTTTAGTGCATTACCAAGTCACGTCAGTCAAATTTATGAGTTGAGCCAATTTTATCCGGTAAATAATTAATTCGAGTTTTTTCTTTTCTACTTAGTTTAAATGATCATATTTTATTAACTTTCAAAAGATTGTTGTTGGTGTCAAAATTAGGTTGGTCCATGTGTCCTCTAATATGACAGTGGGACAAGTCAAGTTCCAACAATAAATCTCGACACCAGGATTACTTTCCCTAAAGTTCTCCAATGATCCAATTAATAAATCATAATAGAGGAGGAAAATAGAGAGCAACTAGTATATTGAGTGACACTTTTCACTTACTTAATGAGGTGAGATCCTATTCTTTTCATAGGTGATGGAGCCGACCAGGAAGTATACTTGACGTGGGACATGGTGGGCCCCGTTTATATATAGGCTTTGGCGGGTTGTTATGGAACATTCTCGGTATGTGGTATCGCCCTACGTAGCTTGCCACCATGACTTACTGCAGTCATGTGCAAAACAAAGCATGTGGCATTGCCATCTCTAGTATGTAACTATCAAGTCGTGATGTTGCTCTTTCTCCTAATCGTATGTCTGTAGTGGGGTTGTCCTTACGACCATATTTCGTCCCCCGTGCTCTCCACGTGTGCAGCTCAACTTTCACTTCAACAATGGTTGTATTTTGTTCATAATTTTTAAAATGTCTATTTTAGAAGCTAAACTTTCAAATATGTTCTATTTAGGTATCTAAACTTACCAAAGGTCTAATTTAATCTTTTATTTTTCTAAAAATAACCCTTTTGATTTTTAGTTTTATTTTACTTTGATAAATTTATAATACAACTTTGAGTAATTTTTTTTTAAATCACTTGAACGGTGATTTTGTAAAATCAATTACACTTATTTTTCTTTTTCAAAATCACTAATTTTACTATCACTCTCAAACAAACCCTTAAGCTTTCCCTAAAATTAATTTTCTAATTTACCAAACATAACCATACTTTCTCTATGACCTCCTCGTTTTGAGACATTATGGCTTTGGGGTAAGTGATTTATAAATGACAAAAGTGATTTTGGTCACACCCTAAGACGACTAATATAGCCCAACCGTGAAGATGGATATTCACATATATAGGACTTATCATGTAATTTGATGAAAATTAATAAATAAATATGAATATTAATGAATGATAAATTTTTACTAATTACCAAGTTTCACGTCATTATTTTAAATAAAAGACAAAATTATATTTGGGACCAACCACAGATTTACACATGTCCTCAAATTAGTTTTGAAATTGACAAATCAAATTATGCAATGAGTTTTTCTTATGATCGTCTCATGAATTGGTTAATTAAATAAGCTCACGTGGATATTGGGCTCAAACCCAGGAAAGTAATGAGAAGAAACTCATATAAAGACCCACAAATACTCAATAAACAGGGGATGTCACATCTCATTTGGGGATTCAGATTCAGAGTCATGTATTCAGAATCGTCTATAAGCATTCAGAGTCAATTAGCAAAGTGTATATAGAGCCGACCAAGAGTTGAAGACCGCCTTAAAGAATCAAAGACTACAAGCCTTCAAGAATCAAATCTTCTATTCTCAAGCTAAAATACAAGCCGAAAAATTTAGTAAAAATGCACAAGTAGGAAAACTTCATCAAAATTGCAAGTCAAAGAACTTCATATCAAACTACATATCCAAAGATTTCAAAGTCTTTAGTACGTTAGAAGTCGAAGACACCAATCTTCTTGTTTCAAGAACAAGCTCATAACGCTCGAATCAAAGTATGCATTCGAGGGAAAGTATCGTTAGAGAGTTACACGACAGAGATTATAATGTTTTATACATAAATACAAATCAAATTAACTTATTTCAAGTTTCTCTTCAAGTAATTTTCTGGCGAACAAATATTTTAGAATAATTAGTTTTAATGTTGGCCTTTAGGGTGCTCTTGAGTCATTTTGACCTTTTTTTTTTTCAGGAAAAAAAAAGAGAAGTAATTGGGGATTTTATTTTAAGGCGAAAAAATGAATTAGAGAAAAGGTAAACAGTGAAAATCCAACAAGGACAAGCGTAATTGCCACCACTGTAATTCTCAAGTGAAAGCTAATGATTAGATACTCTCCTTCTGATTGGCTATTTCTTTAATGGCAATGTTGCTCTTCGAATTTTATTTTATTTAAAAAAAAAAACACATAAAACCAAAATAATAATAAAAAAAAAGAGGAATGAATATGCTCGTTACTTTTTTATTTATCAGGGTAGAAAGATTTGTAAGGAATAAGAACAAAAGTGATAAAAGAAAGGTACAATTTTGCACCATGGGATGTTGACATAACTTTTTGAGGGAAAAGGAAGAGGTCATGATACAAAACACACCACATGTATGAAAAACGAGTCTCTCTATAATTCCACAGTGTAGAATTGTCGACCTTAGACCTAAGTCTACATAATTTTATTTTTAGTTTCACTCGAATACTTTATATTAACGAAGATGTTATTCTTTCTAAATATGTGACTATGTTTGCATCTATAAAACAATAAATACTGGACATTGAACAAACAAATGAAAAAGAAAGGGTGAGAATGTGAGAGGGAAAGATGAGTTGTAATGTAATAGTTGATGCCTTGGGTGGTCTTGTCTTATCGTTGAAAGAAAGAAGTATTCGTTTTTAGGAAAGGTAATGGGAAAGAGTACGTAGGGTAGGCTCTTCCTCCACTTTGGTTTATGGCTTCCCCACCATGTTAAAGTGATGTTTGTCTTCTTGAATCTCATTCCTGTTTTGAGTTGGAGAGAATTAGGAAGATAAATTGGGACCCACATGCAACTTACTCACGTGTGCTCTTCCTATTTATCACATATCATTGGTTTAACTGTTCCACCATCGCTAACTCTAAGTGTAGGTTTCGGTCTTGATGTAACACGACCACCATATAATATTATTAATTCATTTTCAACAAAAAAATTACGAGGATGACTATACTTTGTTTCATTCCAATCCTCTTTGGTATTATAATTAAAGTTCAGTGGAGTCAAATACATGTTGTACAATCTCATCCACCATATATAGTTCACTTTTTGAATATGAAAGTTACTTTTCATTATACTTGTTTTTAAAAAATCGCCTTAAAAGATTTGTTCTTCGTCTCGGGTCCTAAACCTCTTACATGATGCTCCTAGGATATGATCATTTAATGTTGCCAAGGGGCTTGCTTGTAGCTAACTCTCAAACTCCTCTTTGTGTGGTACTATGGTGTTCATATGTCTCTTCAAGTCCATCCACCTCTATTAAAGAATTAGATTGCAACAGTTCTTAATATATAGTATTGACATTTTAAGTAAATTAATTAGTTGCATTGCATCATTGTCGTTTCAAGGAATGTTTTTGCGGAAATAAAATAAGAATAATTATGAAAAAAAGAGTAAGGAATGTTGAGAAAAATGGTGAATTATTTTAAATGGAAAAGAATAATTTCTTAAAGCAAGTACCGATTATACTTATTCTATAAATATTTTTTTTAAAAAAGAATATTATACTTATACTTAGGTTGTTGTGTTTTTTTTTTTCTCTTTTAATATTATTATTATGGGGATGAGAATTCGAAATTACGATCTTTTAATCAAAGATAAATGCTTTAATTACCAATTGAGCTAAGCTCAAATTAGCAGGTTGTAGCGTTGTATTTAGTATTGTATTAGTATTGTATAGTGAAATAAGAGGAATGAAAGGAGAAAAGTGTTTTTATATTTATGGCTCAAACACACCATATGAGAGGGGGAGTGATGCCAATATAATCTTGGAGTTTTTCCTTTTTCCCCCAAAAACAATAATAATATAGGAGAAAAAGGAATGAAGAAAAAGAAAAAGGAAGCAGGGATATGTTATGCTACAAAATATATATTAAAAAAAGAAAGAAAGAAAGAAAAAGGCATTAGAATGCTTTATTCTTTGTGGGCTAAGTTAATGGAGAGACAAAATAAAGATGCCCAAATCAATCAAAAGTTTCCATCTGATTAAGCTTTTTGGTTCAAAGTGGGAGTGGGGGCTTGATTGGAATTTGGAATCATGCCCTCAATTATATTAACTCAGAATCAGGAACCCACTTGGATATATGCAATGCCATCCTATACGAAAAACCAACCACTTTCCCTTTTTCTCCCATCATATTCAATTTCATTTAGTAAATATGTAAATCTTAATAACACATTTTTTAACCTCTTAAAATAAACCAAATAAAAAAAATAAGTAGGAGAAAGCACCACTACTATCACTCTCATCCAAACTCACAAATTCCCAAAAACACCCAACTCATTTTTCTTTCATATTTCCTCTTTGTTTTTAAATTAGATACTCGTTACATTTTAGTTCAATATGCTTGCCAGTTAAGAATACTAATAATCACATTAAAAGAACTTAACAAGGAAGGAAGTTATAAGGAAAGAAAAAAGATAGAGAGATAATATCTACAAGAATAAGAAAAAGAAAGGAAGAGAGACCATGTTGTGTTGATTACTGATTGGTCTTGTAAAAGTTGGCAAATCATATATGTATCTATATATTTAAAAATTAAAGATGCTATACCATTGATCTGAAGATGTGGCAGGGAGATTAGTTAGTTGCATTTGGTGGTCGTGTTGCAGTGAGAAATAGAATCGAATTTGCAAGGGTGAGCCTCAATGAGAAGCTGAACCGCCTCCTTCATGGTGGGTCGAAGGGCTGGATTCTTGTAGGTGCACCGAATGGCAATCCTTAGAACTTGAATCATCTCGTCCTTGAATGACCCTGAAACTCTCTTGTCCAAAACTTCCATGGCTCCTTCCTTTGTGTCCACTTTGTTCGACACCCAATATATAATGTTCTTGTTCTCCCCAAACTCCGCCTCCACTGGTTTCTTCCCCGTTATTAGCTCCATTAGCACGATTCCAAAGCTGTACACGTCGCATTTTGTCGTTGCTTTCGACGAATACGCGTATTCTGTTTTGTCACACCCACAAAAATACATTATATATTATGCTTAGAAAGAAAAAGTGTTTCACTTTGAAAGTTAAATATGGTTGTTGCTAAGCTTACATAACATGTGATACTCAATGAGATGATGAAAAAAAGTTTGTACGAGAAATTAGGTAGTTGAAAAGAGAGAATTCATATATTACTCTTTTAGATGACTTAATTAAATTTATGTAGGACGAAGTCAATAAATATATGATCTATCACATATAACATAATACTTAGATACTTATCAGTAAATAGGTATCTTCATACTTATCTCCGTTAAAAAATTTACAACTATTTATTCTAGCTTATCTCTTCCTTTGTATATTCATCTCTTTTAACCGTCACATTTTTATGGTTACCTACTCACTAGTAAACACCTAAGTTTCAGCTTATACTATATAATATATATGCACTAATGGACTTATCGGTTAACACCTATCTTGTGTTGACTACCATTCAATCGTTGACAACTAACCTAGAGAAATTCAAAAATAGATTTTTTTTTTTTTAATAATGAACTGTCAATTTTTTTTATAAAGTTCAATATGGAATGAACTAGGACTAAATTGAGAAAAGAGGAAGAATTTTAGAAGAGTTACCGGGGGCGAGATAGCCGTAAGTGCCAGCAATGACGGTGGTGGCGGAGTCCTTGCCGGCTCTGGCTTGCAAAACCTTAGCAATACCGAAGTCCGCAACTTTAGGGTGATAATTGACATCCAGCAGAATATTAGTGGTCTTAATGTCCCTATGGATTATAGAAGGCAACAGATCGTGGTGCAGATAAGCCAATCCCTGCGCTATTCCCAGCGCTATCTGGTGCCGCGTCGGCCACTCCAAATGGACCCAGCCCTTGTGCAGCGCGTCCCACAAGTTCCCATTTGGCATGTACTCATAAACCAACAGGCTGCACTCTACGCTCGAGAAGTAGCAGTACAGCTTCACTATGTTCTTGTGCCTTATGCTCCCCAGCGTCTCCACTTCCGTCTTCAGCTCCTTGTCCACCAGATGCAGCTGCTCCTGATCCGACGCCGTATCCTTCCCCTTCCGGCTCCACAGCTTTTTCACCGCTACCATTTCCCCGCTTCTTAGTTCTATTTTGTACACCATCCCCGACCCGCCGCGGCCCACTATGTTCTTGTCCACCATCGATTCGATTATCTCTCTTGGGTCGAAGCTAATTCGGTGGAAGCTCTTCACGTCGTACGAGAAGAACGATGTCGACAGCGTCTCCTCCTGTTCCATTTCTGCTTTTTCTCTGCTCAATCGCCGTCTTAGATACAGGGCAGCTCCGATCAGGATTATGAATGCCGATACTCCGATTGCCCAGATGGAATTCAATCGCTTTCGATTGTAATTCTGCGAACAGATGGGGAATTTCTGGTCCGATGAGTCCAAGTAGACCGAAACGCACAGTCCCGGGTTGCCGGAGAAGCTTTCCACTAACCCACCTTTGATCAGAGACAGAGGAATTGGGCCGGAGAGTTGATTGTTCGAGAAATTTATGGAATTCGGCAACAATTCGCAGAGACTTTCTGGGATTTTCCCCGTCAATCGATTGTCGGAGAGATCAAGGACGTTGAGAGATTTAAGCTCAGAAAGCGAACTGGGTATTGAAGAATTCAGACGATTTCCTTGCAAAAGGAGCAAATTAAGCCGATTCAGATTCCCAATTTCCGAGGGGATCGGACCAGATAAGAGATTGTTGCTGAAATCGATTTTAACCAAATTGGTCGCCCCAGAAATTTCCGGCGGCAACACGCCGGAAATCTTATTACCCTGCATGAACAATTCCGACAGATTCCTGGCTTTAACGAAAGAATTCGGAATTTCCCCACTCAAATTATTATTCCCGAAATCAATAATCGAAACGTGGGGAAGCCCCAAGAGCCCCGCCGGCACCGCACCTTCCAAACGATTCGAACTGACCCGGAACCGTAAAAGGGACTGGCATTTCCCGTACGACGGTGGGATCTCACCGGAAAATTTATTCTCCAACACCAGAAAATACATCAATTTACCTCCTCCGCAGACATCTGTCGGCAACGGACCGTAGAAGTTGTTTTCCGACAAGTCGAGAACGACCATGGGGGACAGCTGCCCCAAATTTCCCGGAACTTGTCCCGTCATGTAATTGTCGTAAAGGGATAACATGGTGAGAGTTGTTGAATTGGAAATCACAGCAGGAATCTCCCCAGTGAGGCAGTTGTTGTAAAGCTGCAGAACTTCGAGTTTAGGAAGACGACAAATCGACTCTGGAAGTTTTCCAGTCAACCGGTTGACCGACATGTCCAAGTCCACGAGCTCTGTTAAATTCCCGATCTCCTCTGGAATTTCCCCGATTAATAAATTGTAATAAAGCTCCAACTGCCTCAAATTCTTCAGCAGTGCGATTTCCTTGGGGATCCGTCCGACGAGGAAATTGCCGCTCAATTCGAGGTCAACGAGCGCCGTCATGTTCCCAATCGCCGCTGGAATCCGACCCTCCAGCATACAAGTCGTCAGCACCATGGATTTCAGCTTCGTCAGGCCGGAGATATTCTCCGGCAACTGCCACAGGTTCAAATTATTGTCCTCGTTGAAATTCAGCTTCTCGAGATTTGTCAGACTGAAGACCGACAACGGGAAGTCGCCGGT